AACCTTTGGGTTTCCACATCACCTCACTACTCCACATCTAGGTTCCACCCAGAGAACTGAAAATTTACGTCCACATGAAACATTTTACAGAAATGTGTGCAGTAGGATTATTCATAATAACTTCAACATTGGACCAACAGAAATGGTTATCAAATAGTAGGTGAACAGGAAATATGGTAGACCGGTAGGCCGATGTGATATAATTTGAGCTGTAAAAGTAATTTATAACTAATTAATGCTATAGACTACATGAATGAACCTTGAAAAAACTAGGCTGAGGAAAGGCATCTGGAAAATATACTACATATTACAGTTCTAACTATACGACATGCATAAAAGAGTTAAATTAATAGAGGCAGAAAAAGGTTTAATGTTTGCTAAGGTGGAGGGTGTATGAAAAAGGGGGAAGTGTTAATAAGTACAGTATTTATCTTCACAAATGCTAATGTTCTAGAATTAGTAGTGATGGCTGCACAGTTTTCTGGGCAATAGAATGCATAGGACATTACACAAGTCAAGTAGGTGAATTTTAGGGTTTGCAAATTATCCCTCAATAAACAATCAGTAGACAGGGTGGTGAGAGAGTTCAGTAGTCAGAGCACCTACCTGGAAAGAACAAGAACTCAGGTTCAATCTCTGGTGGTGCTGGCCCTGTTGGTACACGAGCCAGCTGCTGAGACTGGACATGGTGGCGCATGCCTGTGATCCCAGTGCTGGGGAGGCCAAGACAGGAGGACCACAGTGAGTCGGAACTGTGTAGTGAGACTCTGCATCGAACAAATAATTAAAAAGAAAATTTTTAAAAAACTTCAGTAGAAAGTATAAGGTTTAGGCCAATTGTTGATGTGTATTTATAAAAATTGATCCTATGATAGTCCAGAAAACACATTTCATCAACGTTTACAAGTTATAGTCTTGAGAATGTGTTTTACAATTAATGTAGTAGTGAAACATAGTCAGAAAATGACAATTATTTTGAAATTAAAAAATATCTTCTGAAAACCTAGGGATTATGAATAAATCACAGTGGAAATGGAAAAATCTGTCTAGACTTAATTGAAGTGAAATTACTAGTTATGCATTAAAACATCCTGAATTATAATAGAAGTCATCATACTTACAGGAAAATTTGCAACTGTTAAAATATAGGATTGATATCAAAGAATTTACCTGTTTTAAAATACTTGAGCTGGATAGTAGTATATTATAAATGATGAAAAATAAAATTAAAAAATTATATACAAGAACAACCCAACACTGGTGATGATCAGCAAAATCACAGTAGCACTGTGAAATGAGGAAATGCTGTAGCTTTGGAGAAATCTATATAGAGAGCAGAAAGTGTCAGAGTATATTACTGAATCTGATGTGAAAAGCATGAGCACAAATATACACATTTAAAAACCAGAAGGCTATTATCAACATTCATGCCAACATATTTGAACATGTAAATCCACAAGTTTCTACCAAAGTGAAACCCTAAAAAAATTCTTCACAAAATAAAATAGGAACTATGAACAATTTGCATTTATTAACTATTCTAAATCTATAATTGAAAATCTTCCTATCATCACTCATTCGGTTTAATTTCTAATTTTACAAACATTTAAGGAAGATGAATATCAGTCTTACCCAGAACCATCTAGAAAAGAGGTATAAAGAATTTCTTATGTTTTAATTAGCCCACCACAATTTTATACTCAAAATTGTTGAGGACATTAAAAGAGAAAGAAATTATCGGCCACTCTCATAAATAGATAAGCAGAATAGCACAAGCATATTAGCATACCTGGGATTGTAAGTGTGCATGTTGGTTTTACTGTATATCAAGTCCATTTCAGAAATCTAAGATTAATTTAAAAATGAAAATCTTCGATATTCAACACCATTTAAAGAATGATTAGGAAACATTTTGTATTCATTTTCCAGAAGCCTTTGGTTTAAAAATGTTTTTGTTCAATGAATGCATATGCGACACCTGTCACTATCACTGAGATTTTAGAGCTCCGCGTAAGCACTCTAATGAAAATATGTCGACTCTCGGGGAGTTTGCTAGGAAAACCTGCGAACAGCAGGATCTTTTTAATTCAGTCCTGCAGATCAATCTGACATTACTTTTTCAGCTGTTCCTCTTGAGACCTTTCTCAAACTACAAAGAAAAGAAAACAATAATTCTTTTATGACTATCATCATTTCTGAAATGGAATAGCATGGTCTTTATGCACCCACGTCCGCTTGTTCAACTGTTAATAGAAACAGCGAAAGTTCTTACGCACCAGGACTCACTGCCATTCAGAAATAAATCTTCCCACTTTGAATTCTTGTATGTTGCTGTAACTTGAGATAGAAGAGACAACACCATTTCATATAAAATGCATTTATTGAATAAGCACTAATTTCTTTCTTTCTTCTTCTTTCTTTCTTCTTTCTTTCTTTCTTTCTTTCTTTCTTTCTTTCTTTCTTTCTTTCTCTTTCTTTCTTTCTTTCTTTCTTTCTTTCTTTCTTTCTTTCTTTCTTTCTTTCTTTCTTTCTTTCGACTGGCTCAGCCCACCCTGAGGACGGGGCTGGCGCAGCATGTGGTGCCGTGGATCAAACCGTGGTCCCCTGAGCCTGCCTCAGCTTGCCTAAGCAGGCCCTTTAGACCACTCAACTATCTTTCTAACCCTAAGCACTAATTCCTGAGAATTTTTTTCAAAAGTTAATGTCAAACATTATGTAAATCCAACAATAATAATTTAGGTACATTACAGACGGACTCCTTAATTTTATTTAGCTGTATATTCACGTATTCTTTTCTGTTATACAAATTATTGGGCTTTCTAGATTATTAATTGTAACATCATAATCTAGATAATGCAAGGTTAATATAAAAAAGAATGATAATGCTAACATTTATCACAAGTTTATATTCCTACCTTTTTTATAGCTATCAAATGAAGCAAAATTTATATAATTCTCATAATTAGTTAGCTAAATAAGTAACATAAACATATTTACAGGAATGAGGTAATTATAGATTTTTCCTCTTAATCAAGCAGACAAATTTTGCCCAATAGCTTGGTGGTGTTAATTGCCAAAGGTCTCTGAGATGGCAAAATTGAGGTCAGATTATCTGGCTCCTAAAACTTGTGAGGCTTGTGTGACATTACACACACTGTGTCTGGGGTGAGGCTTGACACTTGACATGCCCCCCAAAACTGAATTGTTTGACCTCTTTTTTGTATCAGGCAAGTTATTTTTGTGTCCCACTCATAGACGTCGGAAAAGATAGCTCTGTAAATTGAACTCATTGAATTAGATCGATAGCCTTAAGCTAATACAA